ATCCTTCGATGTGGTGGCGAGTGCATCACTGACCCCCTGTGAGGCTGCATTGCTAGGAGATGAGAGAAATAAGAAGGATCAGGGTAGAGTGAAGTGGACATGGTGGGGGAGGGGACAGGATATTCTGGGTGCTTGCTGTGCCAGTACCAACTGGAGAATTACCCACAACCTGCATGAGGGCACACAGAATATGGATGGGCAGGTGTAAATGAGGGTATCAGCAGTGCCACCCCTTCCCCACCTCAAAGTCTGTATCCCCAACTTGCCTATTGGGTGTAGGTGATCTGGGGGTCACTTCTGAGACCGCATACTCTCCCCAGTTGCAGAGGAGTAGCCAGAATCCTCTGATGTGCAGATGTCCAACACGTCAAATTCTAGGTCAGAATTCAAGCCATAGGAACCAACAGACAAGAGAATACTGGATGGGAGTTGGCTGACATGCAGTGGCCAGATATCAAATCTGAATGTACCTGTAGCAAGCAACGTTATTGAACCATACCTTTAAAGACCTTCCCACAAAGGGAAGTTCTGGGCCTCCTGGTTTCATTAGTGAAATCTACCAAAAGTTTTAAGAAGAAATAACACCCACCCTTCACAGGTTCTCCCTGAATAGACAGCAGGGAGGAGGGAACATTTCCTAACTCATCCTATAAGAACAATGTTACCCCACTACCAAAGTCAGACTTGACATCACCAGAAAGCTACAGACCCATATCTGTCATGAATAGCAATGCATACACCCTCAACACAGTCTTAGCAAGCCAAATCAAGAAATACTTGCGAAGGGTTGTGCAAGATTTATCCTGGGGTATTGGAGAAACACTCAACTTCAGTTATGGGAAACAGTGTATTAATATAATGAAGGAAAGAAACCACCTGCCATTTTGACAGACAAACAAGCAGCATTTGACACAATTAAAACCCCATTCGTGATAAATAAGTAACTAACTAAATCAATAAACATGGTCAACCAACTTGGGATAGAAGGGATCGTCATCATTGTGCTGAAGAACATCCCCAAGAAACATCCAGCTCGCATCACATCACATCTAGCAGTGTTTTAGTGAATGCTTTCCTCTTGAGATCCAGACCAAGTATAGGAGGTCTGCTTCAACCACCTCTATTCCACACTGACTGAAGAGTCTATTCTGTGCACCATGCAAGACAAGAAATGAAATTATGGAGAAATGAAAAATGAAACCTATGTCCACACAAATACTTGTCTTTAAGTGTCTTTCACAGCAGCATTGTTTGTAATCTCCAAATAGTGGAGCAGCGTAAAAGTCTGTCAGCTGGAGAGTGGTAAACAAATATCCTGTACCCATATAGTGGAATAGCATAGATGGATGAAAAGTGATGAACTTCTGCCTTCTGCTGCCACATGGGGGAGCCTCCAAAGCATTATGCTAGTCAAAGAACCCAGACACAAAAGGCCACTTCCTGTTAAGAGTTCCTTTGTATGAAATGCCCAGAAAGGGCAAAGCTACAGAGGCAGAAATTAGATGAGACGCTGCCTGGGCCTGCAGGTCCTATTCCCCAATAGGAATTGACTGCTGATGGGTACACAGAACCTTTCTGTGGTGCTGGCAGTGTTCCACAACTGCACTGTGGTGGTGATTGCACCACTGTGTGAAGTTACTAAAAGTCACTGCACTGGATGCATTGAATGGGTGTGATTTGTGGTATGTAATTATACCTCAGTAAAGCAGTTTAGGAAGGTAACACAGATGTCCAAGTGAGACATGTGGGAAAAGATATGCCATTGCTTTCCTAACAATGAAGAGTGCCCCTGCTCCTTCCACGTTCTGGGTCTGGCCTCCTCCAGGTGTGCTAGATGCTCCCTCCAGAAATAGCTGGCATGAACATCAGGACAGAATCCCCAGTGAGCATATATGTCTAGTGTGTCTCTGTGTTCATGCACAGTTGCCCATTGTGTGACCACAAGTCAATGGCTCTGGGCAGGCTCCCAGAACCCACACTGCATCTCAAATTCTACTTAGCTGTTTTTCTGTTCTTCTCAAACCACAAGAGAACAGCTTACGTACTCCTGGTAACAGACCTCAACCCTTAGCTGCAACCTCTGCTCGCAGGAATACCTGTAGCCAGGTGTGAGGCCCCTGCCTGAGCTCAGCAACCCATGATGGATCCTCAGCAGAGCAGTAACCAAGACAACAGAACTCCATTCATCCTCCTTCTGCCGCCAGGATTGAGGTGCATTCCCTTCCCTCCATCTGCCTGAGTGTTTGGTAAGGAAGGGTACTTGGGGGCATAACCACACCACTGAGTCATTGAAATTGTTCTAAATATGGCTGTGATAAATACGTCAAAAATACCTCTCAGAAGGGAATATACATAATTGCAAATTTTTTAAAAAAATTTCATTAATAGCAAACATGGCTCTCCAGTTCAGGATTCTACTTAAAACCAGGATGGGTTTAAGCAGCATGAGATTGTGCTTCTCAACCTAAACTGTGCATCAAACCTCCCCTGGAGAGGCTTTAGAAGAGCTGATGCTGGCAGGACACTCCCAGAGTCTGAAGTGTGGCAGTGTGGAAGTCTGGAATGTGGCCCTGGTGTGAGCATTATCTGAAAATGTGCTCTTATGAAACCCGAGATTGCAGCTGTAGAAACAGAACCCATTCTTACAGGAGGAAATTGAAAATTTGCAACTCCTCTCTATAAGGAAAGCAGGCTTCCATGATGACCTGCTATGCTTGATGTCTGTCTTAGGCTGAGGAAAGGGACAACTTGCTCAAATTAATACTTGTTTGAAAACTGACCTTGTGCTTGCTCTGCTGCATGTTCTGAATCCAAAGTTTTATAGTTAAAACCCTGCTGTTGTTAATAAAACTCAGTATGTTTTAGTTCTTGTCAGGATCCCTTATGCCTAGTTAGTTGAATGCATTTCTAAAATATTATGGAGATACCTTCATGCAACAGATCAAAATAGTGCTTCAAAGATTAAACATGGCTGAGAATTGTAGCTGTTGATGTAGGTGTAGAAGGATCAGCTGTCAGCTTATCTGCTGCCTGTGCTCAGTTGCACTTCTAAACTTTTTCCTGTGTTATCAAATTAACTCCCATGTTCAGATGAAGACCAAAACCGAACAGGATGTCTACTGGGAAAAACACAGTTAAGCAATCCCTTGTTTGGTGCACACCCATGAAGACCCACCTTCCTAAATGTTCTCCTTGAGGGATCTCTTCTGAATATTCTTTGGCACATTCCCCAACGATGGGCTTACACTGCTGTGTCTTGACTCATCGTCTTGTTAAAGACAGGGCTTTCAACCTCTCGGGTACAGTGCCTGGGTTTTCTCGGAGATCCAAAAGAGGGTGATGGCCTGTGCTCAGGACACCTTCAGAGTGTGTCTGTAGAAACAGGGCCTCGCAGAGAACCTGATTCCCACCTGTGGCAACAGGCAGATCTCGGGTGAGCCTTTTCCAGAACAGCTCTGGGGGAGTCATGGCACGGTGAAGATTCCACCCCGCAGCATGCCCGGTATTGTGGTTTAAGGAATTGGGTGGATGGCAGTGCCCATGCATGAGACAGGGAATGTTGGCCTGGGGCTACTAGCAGGTCTGCAGGGCTTATGGGACATCTGAGTGTAGATGCCACATACGTCGTGGCCTGTGGGGGATCTGGGGCCCAGTTGAGATGTTTTAGGTAGATTTGGTGATAGGAAAAGACATCAGCACACAGGGGATACTGATGAAAAGAAGTCAGATGGGTAAGAGCTCTGGGGGGTAATGTAGTCACCCAAGGATCATGTATACAATGGAAGAGCACAGGGCAGAGGTTGGAAAGCAGAGGAAAATGAAACCAAGCTTTAGGAGGGGATCAAAATAAATGGACAGACAAGGAGACTTAGAAGTAATGGACTGAGAGGTGGGGGAAAGCCATGGCGGGCTTCTGTCACAGACTCTGACCAAGGAAAGTGGTTTTGAAAATGGAATATGTCTGTGGTCAATACAGCACTGGGTACCATGATTAGGCCCATGGAACTCTTAGGAGACGCTAACAAGGGGATGTTCTATGGATAGGCGCTTGAAGGAGGAATTGAGAGGTAACCAGGTAAGGATGCTCCTGGAGTCTACACGCTCAAGAAGCATGGCTTGAAAGGCACCAAAGACGCAGGGTATTGGAAGTAGAGGGCTGTGTGCTTGCAGGGTATGCTATTTTCTGTTCCCCAAACCAAAGAGTTCAGGATGCAAGTTCCAAAAATTCCTAAGAATCATCAGGACTGTTGTCTAGAAGACAGAGTGGAGAATTGGAAGGATTCTCATAGGTGAGCCTTCAAGTTGAGGAGTGAGGAGTCTGGTGGTTTCAAAGCAGCAGTGGAGTTCCACGAAGACTTCCTTCCTCTCCCTCTGAGCCCCATTCTGCCTCTGTGACCCATGGTCACGGGAAGAGCTTGGGTGGTGGTGGTGAGGAGTAAGGGGATGCTGAAATCACAGTCTCAATATATGTGCCTCAGACTCCACGGGCATTTTGGTGTATTTGTTCTCCGTGGCTGATGATCTGATCTTCACAATGAGTGTTCACCCTTCATACTGGTTAGTAAGGGGAAAACCCCCACTGAATTTACTTCTAATCTGGAAAGTGTGGTTGCATGCAACGAACTGAATGCCCACAGATACAAATGCTCAGTCTGTTCTGGAGAAAATGCTCTCTACCTCTTTCAGCCATGGGGCAGAGCTGTGTGTTGCTTACAAGGCTCACGGTAATTGTGGGAGGGGGAATCTATAACATGGCACACCCTTGTTCCTCAGAGTGTCCTCAGTGGTCCCTGAGGGAAAGTTGACTCTCCTCTCCTGGCTCCAGCTGGTGATGCTGACCTGCACTGCCCACAGGTGGAAGTGGTGAAACTTGCCTTTTTGTCTCCCTCCTCTTTCTGTGGGCCCCGTGCTCCCTGGAGGACTGAGCCTCAGCCACCCTGCTGGCATCTGCAGACCCCTCTGAATCTGGGTCTCATCGTCCAGCCCATTACTAGGCAGGGATGTCCACTCCTCAGCCTCAGCTTCAAGGTCCCCTAGCCCATTGCCTGCCTAGGCTTCATCTGGATTCAGTCCCTTTCCACATTTCTTCCTCAGGTGATGCAGATTCCTCCCTTGGATCTCACCTGCACGAGAGCAGAAACCAAGATCAGCTCCAGAAAACTAAACTCCTAAACTGCAGCTACCTATCAGCCCAAAGACGTTGTTGGGTCATTGCACAGTGTGCTCCTGTGAGTCCAAAATGTGAATGGGGTGGAATCCTCCTGTCCCTGGTGTTCCTCTTCATTTCTTGTCACACTTCCTTTGCTTAATTTTTGTTAGTTTAACATGTGGCATGGTGTGTTTAGCCTTAGGGTATCCCGTAAGGGCTTCTCTGGGCTTCTTGGACTTAGGTGGCTATTTCCTTACATGGCTACTGATATCTTTTCATGTGTACATTTGCGATCCATACATCTTTGGTAAAATATTTATTCCAATCTTAGGCCCACTTTGTAATTAGTCTGTTTATTTTTATTCTTTCTTTCATAAACATTCTTTTTAAATTATTTATTTATTTATTTTTGGCTGTTCTAGGTCTTTCTGCACAGACTTTCTCTAGTTAAAGCGAACAGGGGCTATTCTTCATTGCGGGGCATCGGCTTCTCGCTGTGGTGGCTTTCCTTGTTGCAGATCAGGAGTGCTAAGGTATGTGGGCTCAGTAGTTTTAGTGCACAGGCTTAGTTGCCCCCCTGCAGATGCAATCTTCCCAGTCCCGGGATTGAACCTGTGTCCCCTGCATTCGCAGGTGGATTCTTAACCACTGGATCACCAAGGAAGTCCTACTTTCTTATATTCTTGAGATTTCAGGGTTTCTCTATATTCTGGTTATAAGTAATTTATCAAATATTTGTTTTAAAAACATTTTCTCCCTGTATGTGGCTTGTCTTTCTTTCTTTTCACCATGTCTAAGAGCAATCTTGAAGTCTAATGTATCACTTTTTCTTGTATGCATTGTGCTTGTAAGAAATCTTTGCTTAACTCTAGTACTTTTGGGACTGCCATGACAAATTATCACAAATTTGGTGGGTTAAAACAAAAGAAATTTATTCTGTACACTTCCTGAAGACAGAAGTCCCAAATCAAGATGTCGGCAAAGTTGGTTGCTTTCGGATGCTCTAAGGGAGAATCTGTTCCATGCCTCTCTCCTACCTTCTGCTGGCAAGGCCTGATGTTACTTGGATTACGGGTGCATCACTTCAGTCTTCACCTTCATCTTCACATGGGGATTTCCCTTCCACTTGTTTCTGTGTGTCCACTTCTCTTCTTATAAGAGCACCATTCTTTGGATTTAGGGCCCACCTTAATCTAGGAGAAGGAAATGACAACCCACTCCAGTATCATTGCCTGGAAAATCCCATGGACTGAGGATCCTGGTAGGCTACAGTCCATGGGGTCTCAAAGAGTTAGACATGACTGAGCGACTTCACTTCACTTTAATCTAGGATGACCTCATCTTAACATAACTAATTACATATGCAAAGACTGTGTTGAATAACAGTGGCAAGAGTGATCCTTGTCTTGTTGCTGATCTGAGAGGAAATGCATTCAGTTTTTCAATATTGAGAATGCTACTTGCTGTGGCTCTGTTGTATATGACTTTTACTATGTAGTACTCTTGCCTGGAAAATCCCATGGATGGAGGAGCCTAGTGGGCTACAGTCCATGGGGTCACTAAGAGTCAGACATGACTGAGCGACTTCACTTTCGTGCATTGGAGAAGGAAATGACAACCCACTCCAGTGTTCTTGCCTGGAGAATCCCAGGGATGGGGGAGCCTGGTGGGCTGCCATTTATGGGGTTGCACAGAGTTGGACATGACTGAAGTGACTTAGCAGCAACATGTAGAAATCAGTAGTCAGTATTCAGTTCAGTTGGTCAGTTTTGTCCGACTCTTTACAACCCTATGGATTGCAACATGGCAGGCTTCCCTGTCTATAACCAATTTCTGGCGGTTACTCAAACTCATGTCAATTGAGTAGATGATATCATCCAATCATCTCATCCTCTGTCGTCCCCTTCTCCTCCTGCCTTCAATCTATCCCAGCATCAAGATCTTTTCCAATGAGTCAGCTCTTTGCATCAGGTGGCCAAAGTATTGGAGCTTCAACTTCAGCATCAGTCCATACAATGTATATTCAGGAGTGATTTCCTTTAGGATGGACAGGATTCATCTCCTTGCAGTCCAAGGACCATCAAGAGTCTTCTCCAACACCACAGTTCATAAGCATGAATTCGTCAGCACTCAGTTTTCTTTATAGTCCATCTCTCACATCCATACACGACTACTGGAAAAACCATAGCTTTGACTAGATGGACCTTTGTCGGTAAAGTGATGTCTCTACTTATTAATATGCTGTCTAGGTTGGTCATAGCTTTTCTTCCAAGGAGCAAGCGTCTTTTAATTTCATAACTACAGTCACCATCTGTAGTGATTTTGGAGCCAAGAAAATAAAGTCTGTCACGATTTCCACTGTTTCCCCATCTAGTTGCCATGAAGTGATGGGACCAAATGCCATGATCTTAGTTTTCTGAATGTTGAAATTTAAGTCAAAATTTTTGCTCTCCTCTTTCACTTTCATCAAGAGGCTCCTTAGTTCTTCACTTGCTGTCATAAGGGTGGTATCATCTGTGTATCAGAGGTTATTGAAATTTCTTGTGGCAACCTTGAACCCAGCTTGTGCTTCATCCAGACTGGCATTTTGCATGATGTACTCTGCATAAAAATTAAATAAGCAGGGTGATAATACACAGGCTTGACTTACTCGCTTCCCAATTTCGAACCAATCTGTTGTTCCATGTCCAGTTCTAAATGTTGTTTCTTGACCTGCATGCAGATTTTTCAGGAGGCAGGTAAAGTAGTCTGGTATTTCCATCACTTCAAGAATTTTCCAAAGTTTGTCGTGACCCACACAGTCCAAGGCTTTAGAGTAGTCAATGATGCAGAAGTAGATGTTTTTCTGGAACTCTCTTGCTTCTTTGTTGATCCAGTGGATGTTGGCATTTTGATCTCTGGTTCCTCTCTCTTTTCTAAATCCAGCATGAACATCTGGAAATTCACGATTCACGTACTGTTGAAGCCTGGCTTGGAGAATTTTCAGCATTCCTTCACTAGCATGTGAGATGAGTGCAACAGTGTGGTAGTTTGAACATTCTTTGGCATGGCCTTTCTTTAGGATTGGAATGAAAACAGACCTTTTCCAGTCCTGTGGCCACTGCTGAGTTTTCCAAATTTGCTGGCATAATGAGTGCAGCATTTTAACAGCATCATCTTTTAGGATTTCAAATAGCTCAGCTTGAATTCCATCACCTCCACTAGCTTTGTTCATAGTGATGCTCCCTCAGGCCCAGTTGGCTTTGCATTCCAGGATGTCTGGCTCTAGGTGAGTGATCACACCATCGTAGTTCTGTAGCTCATGATCATCTTTTACGTATAACTCTTCTGTGTATTCTTGCCACTTCTTGATATGTGGTCCTTCTGTTAGGTCCATACTATTTCTGTCCTTTATTGTGCTGAGCTTTGTGTGAAATGTTCCCTTGGTATCTGTAGTTTTCTTGAAGGGATCTCTAGTCTTTCCCAATGTTTTGTTTCCTCTGTTTCTTTGCAATGATACCTGAGGAAGGTTCTCTTATCTCTCCTTGCTTTTCTGTGGAACTCTGTATTCCAATGGGTACATCTTTCCTTTTCTCCTTTGCCTTTAGCTTCTCTTCTTATGTTGAGATAGTTTCCCTCTATGCCCACTTTCTGGAGAGTTTACCTATTTATTTATTTATTTATTTGTCATAAATGGGTGTTGAACTGTGTCAAAAACTTTTCTGTGTCTATTGAGATGGTCATATGGTTTTTATTCTTTAATTTGTTAATATGGTGTATATTATCAATTGATTTTAGTATGTTGGAGGATCTTTGCATCCCTGGGATAAACCCCAACTAATCATGATGTATGATCCACTTAATGTGTTGCCATATTTTGTTTGCTCACATATTGGTGATGATTTTTGGGCCCATGTTCATCAGTGAGATTCGTCTGTAATTCTCTTTTGTGTATGGTATCTTTGTCTGGTTTTGGTATCAGTGTGATGCCTCATGGAGAGTTCCTCTCTCTGCAATTTTTTGGAAGAGTTTGCAAATTATAGCTGTTAGCTCTTCTCTAGATGTTAAATTCGACTTTGAAGCCATTTGGTCCTGAACTTTTGTTTGTTAGAAGCTTTTAAATTATGGTTCCGGCTCAGATGGTAAAGAATCTGCCTGCAATGCAGGAGACCTGGGTTCAATCCCTGGATTGGGACAATCGCATGGAGAAGGAAGTGGTTACCCACTGCAATATTCTTGCCTGGAGAATTCCAAGGCAGAAGAGTCATCTCTTCGCATCAGTTGGCCTAGGCAGCTACGATCCACAGGGTCACAAAGAGTAGGACACGACTGTGTGTCTAACACTTTCACTTTCATTACTTGTGAAACTGGTCTGTTTATATATTCAAATTCTTCTTGGTTCAGTCTTAGAAATTGTACCTTTTTAGGAATATGTCTATTTCTTCCAGGTTGTCCACTTTATTGGCATATGCTTGGCTTCCCTCCTAGCTCAGTTGGTAAAGAATCTGCCTGCAATGCAGGAGACATGGGTTTGATTCCTGAATCAGGAAGATCCCCTGGAGAAGGAAATGGCAACCCACTCCAGTATTCTTGCCTGGAGAATCCCATGGACAGAGGAACTTTGCAGGCTACAGTCCATGGGGTCACAAGAGTTGGACACGACTGAGTGACTTTCACTACTACTACTACTACTACTACTTGCTTGTAGTATTCTTTTATGACCCCTTGTATTTCTGGAGTGTCAGTTGTAATTTCCCATATTTCATTTCTAATTTTATGAATTTCAGGCCTCTTCCTTTTTTTCTTGTGCAGTCTTGCTAAGATTTATCCAATTTTTTTACCTTCTTAAATAACCAACTTTTAATTTTATTGATCTTTGCTATTGTTTACTTCATTTCTGTCTCACTTATTTCTGCTTTGATTTTTGTTACTTCTTTCTTTCTACTGACATTGAGTTTTATTTGTTCTTCTTTCTCTAGTTGCTTTAGGTGTAAGGTTAGTTTGTTTATTTGAGATGTTTCTTGTTTCTTGAGGTGAGATTGAATTGCTATAAACTTCCCTCTTAAACTGCCTTTACTGCCTCCCATAGGTTTGAGGTCAGTGTGTTTTCATTGTCATTTCTTTCTATGTATTTTTAATGTTCCTCTTTAATTTTTTCAGTGATCTGTTGGCTTTTTAGCAGTGAACTGTTTATCCTCCATGTGCTTGCATCTTTTTACAGTTTTTTTTCCCTGTAATTAATTTCAAATCTCCTAATGTTGAAGTTGGAAAGGATGCCTGATAAAATTTCAATTTTCTTAAATTGTCTGAGGCATGATTTGTGTCCCGAGATATGGTCTGTCCTGGAGGATGTTCCATGTGCTCTTGAGAAGAAAGTGTACTCTGCTGCTTTCAGGTGGAATGTCTTTTATTTGATTCAGTCCATCTGGTCTGTAGTGTCACTTAAAGAGTGAATTACCTTATTAATTAATTTTTTGTGTGCTTGATCTCTCCTTTGGTGTAAATGGAGCATTAAAGTCCTCCAGTATTATTTTATTAGTGGCAACTTCCCCTT